TAATAACTATCAGAAATACATTTTTCTGAATTTTTTTTGATAAAAAGTAACAACAAATTATTAAAAATTAACCAAGTTCATCATTTGTCGCGCTTTTTATAAACTAAAAGAAGTTTTTTTACTATTGTATTAAATGTCGTATGATAAAACATTTTATTTTTGTTTTTATTCCTTTTACAAAACAAAATTATCTCAAATATTTCAAAAGTTATAAATGTTTTAGTAACACCCCCTAAGTCAAAATTTTCAAAAAAAAACAAGAAGCCGTAAAGCTCACTCTGAAACAACCGTGAGTGCGTAATGCCTGAACTAATTTGCGGGTAGGTACAATCGGCAGAGCAGAGCAGATTGGCAGAGCAGATCATTGAAATGTTAATAACGGCAGAGCAGATTATTCAATCAGCCGTTTCCTAAAGTGTGATCTGCCAAATAATTCGGCAGATCATATAATAGAATTTTTATAATGTGATTGCCAAATATTTTTATGAAAAACGATGCACTTCGAATAGACAGAACTATGAGCTGACTTTTTAAACATAAACGTTTTTTGTTGTCGCAATATTTTCCAAAAAAAAAGTGATCTGCCGTATTCTAATGTGTGATCTGCCAAATATTTTGGCAGATCATAATGCAACCGGCAGAGCAGATTGGCAGAGCAGATCATTGTAATAATAATAATGGCAGAGCAGATTATCACAGACAGACAATGAGTCGTTTTCTATTTTGTGATCTGCAAATTTATATTTTGATAATGCGTGATCTGCCAAATAATATTTGAATAATGTGTGATCTGCCAAATAATATTTGGCAGATCACACATTATTCTTTGGCAGATCTAGTGATCTGCCAAATAATATTTGGCAGATCACTAGAAATATTTGGAAGATCATTAGAAAACGGCTGATTGGATAATCTGCTCTGTCGCTATTAACATTACAATGATCTGCTCTGCCAATCTGCTCTGCCGATTGTACCTACCCCTGATTTGCTCGCTCAAAAAAGTGTCGAATTTGATATTAGTATACTATTAAATTTGATTTTTTTTAACTCGATTACACCATTTTACAAAACTTGATAATCCTTATCTTGCCATACTAACGCTACTTGTAAAAGGAAAGGAGTGTTTTGTCCTGCAAAATGGCTATCTTCATTTATGATATAAAGTGATCAATATTATATAAAGTAGTATGTAAATTACTAACATGTGGGATAAATACATGCATATAATAGTTTTAATATTTTATAAATTTATGCGTTATTGCCTTAGACTTAAACTATGGTTAGTATGTTGATCACAACAGTTTATAGGTTTTAACTAGTGTTAGTATTTTCTGCTTTATTGTTTGCCTAGTTGTTTAATAGTGCCTTGAGTTTATAAAATTAAATAATTTTTCAAATGGTTAAAAGTATACTGGTAATATTTATTGTTTATTGTAACCCACCCAAAACAGAATAAACCATGTTTAAAATACACCAAACCAAAGTTGTTAAATAATATTATTTTTAATATAATTAACATTTAATTTAAAGTTTAAAAATTAACTATAAACTTTTATTTAATTATTTAACTGTATTAATAAAACATAATATGTAAACTTTTTTATAGCAGTTCCAGAATCACTGGCCATCTGCCCAACAATTAATATTATTATTGTTAAATATGGTAAATTTAAGCCTAATTTTTAAATTGTTTAAAAAAAGTGCTTTTACATTTTAATAAGTTCATCATTTAAAATGTACAATAGTGTTTACTGTTAACAATGTTTAAAACTTTAAAACTTTATAGGAGAATATACTGAACTTTAGAGGTTCTGGAAGCTATCATTTTGCAATGCGAAGTTCTGATGTATAATGTAATTAAATGACTTCTGTGTCTAAAGATATAAGTTATAAGATTCCTTAAGTCCTGATTTTCTCTATATAGAGTTAATTTTTTTTAAACATTTTTGAATCTCTAGTCTTTTTAAATTAAACAACTAACCCCTGGCTCTTTTAAAAATATTACGCGCTGTTCTAGATATATCTCAATATATAATATTGAGATGAATAAAACTACTTTTTCTAAATGTTATAATTACACAAATTCCTTTAGATTATTCAAAAGTTGTTTAACTGTTTCTATAAAAAGATAGTATGTACACTATTGCAGTTTCAAAGCCTCCTAAACCATAAAAATGAGCAACTATAACATTACAACACGCCTGGTGTTGTAATGTTATGATTGTCCATTTGTATAGGAAACTAGTCTTCTCCAAAATAAACTCAATAGACTAAGTAGTAGCAATCACTCAAGACAATTATTAATCAAACTAATTTATAAAATCTACAATAATTTTTGTGTGTGATTATTTTAACAAAAGCTTAAACAAAACATTACTATTAAAATTTTTTGCAATCAAAATTTGAATATGGGGTAATATTTAATTAAATAGAACATAAAGAAGCCTAAAATTGAAATTACACAGATCTATGATTTGAAGTGATACCTATGTAATTTTATCATCACTACAACAAACAAAATGCTATGTATTATTAACGATGTATGTGTAGTTGTAAGTTGCTGTATTAAATAAAATTAAGTAATTTAAGAAGAATTTATGAGTTGATGGTTCACTTAATTTGTTTCAAACAAAAAAATGAATGGACTGCAGTTATTTATAGTGAATAGTTTAAGTAGGACAATGTTTTAGTTTGTTGAAAGACTACCACTGAGCTTAAACCTAATAATGCACAACTGAGTAAGAGAGGAGTTTTCTTTGGCTTTGATTATAGATTGCCGTTTTAGGACTTCAAGAAAAAGTATGTGTGTATAGATAGATATATAAAGATAGGTACATCATACATCCATATGGATGCATGCATACATGCATACATACATACATACATACATACATACATACATACATACATACATACATACATGCATACATACATACATATACACTGCTTCCACAAAAAAAAAAAAATCTTGCAAATTTTTGTTAAAACTTTTCTCTAAAAGCCAAATAGTTCTTGCTTTATGCTACTTATGTTTTTTATTAGGACCTTGCCATCTTATTTATCCATCCAAGCCTAAACAGATTTTATTAGATTTAAATATGATGATCAAGCAGGACAGGGTAATATATCTACATTATTTTCTTTTATCCATGCTTTGACAGTACAATCGTGTGAGCACCTTATCTTGTTAAAACTGTAATCATTTCTATTGATCATCTAGCATGTCTACTGATTAAACTATGCAGCTCTTTAGTGTCTTTAATGAATGTTTTATCTAAGATAAAATTAAAGCAGTCCATATATAGTTGATTTTGTATCAAATTTTTTTGCCGACCTGATACAATCCTCTAAATAGAATGAGGTTGGAAAATTATTGCCGACCTCAGTTTTCCTAATTCAGAGGGTTATATATATATATATATATATATATATATATATATATATATATATATATATATATATATATATATATATATATATATACATATATACATATATATATATATACATATATATATACATATATATATATATATATATATATATATATATATATATATATATATATATATATATATATATATATATATATATACGTGTGTGTATATATTAATGTAAAAAGTTACAGCAGTATTTTGTCAAATGCCGACCCAAATTATGAGAGTTGTATATATTCAGTCTGTCTTTATCTTATAGCCTGCTGCCACAAAGGATTGCTGTTACATGTTAAAAGATTTAGCATTGGGCAGCAATGCTAAACCCTTTGACATTACTAATATATATATATATATATATATATATATATATATATATATATATATATATATAATATATATATATATATATATATATATATATATTAGTAAATGACCGTGCCCTGTCCCTAGCTAAAAATGAGTTTTTTGGAGAATCTGGCCCTGGCAAAATTATAAGATTTAGCAGGGATTGATAGCCTGGGCTAAAATAAAATTGATAATGCTTTGTATATTATAATTTTATGCTTATTTATTAAATACTGGTATATATTTATATATTTTTAAACTCTAATTTATTTCCAACTAGATTGCAAGCAACCACCAAAAAAGTTATGAGTTACTTTAACATAGAGAATAAGTTAAAATACTAGTAAACCGTTAACTGGAGATTGTAAAAGTTGTAGGTTGTTTAAAATAAGAAAACATGAAGATGGGTAAGAGTTATAAGATTTTTTTGATGTGCAAGAAAAAAAACAGGATTAATAAAAAGTTTTTATAGCATGAAGGGACAGAAACAGTAAAAGAATGCTAGTTGAATAAAAAGCCAAGCAAGAATGAGTTTTGGTTTATCGTAATAATATATAGCTCATTTACGCATTGACCATGATTGTATTTGTAGAAAAAAAAAGAAATGCAATCGTACAACAATGGGAGAGTTACTCAAGATTGGCAGATAAAAAAAATAACAAAAAACAAAATAAAAATAACTTAGCTAAAACTAAAATAGCAAAAATAAGATATCTAAATAATGTTTGGAATAAATAACTTTGAATCATTTATCTTTACTTATGTTTTTATAATATAATGCGAAACCCTTTTTAAATAAAGTAACAACTTATAACTGGCGATTGTTTTATAAATGCGCAAATTTAAAAGTTTAAAAAAAGATTCCTATTTCTTCGCACAAAAGAAAAAATAATTAAATTGTTTATTTTAAAAATTGCTTTTTTTTAATTTAAAAACATTTATAATTAAAAAAAAATACTTATATAAATATAAAAAATATATATTATTCATTAATATTTTTATAAAAAATCTTTGCAATTATTTGTTACTTTATTTAAATGCATTTCAATAATATAAAAATCAAAGTAATTTAATTCAAAAAAGTTTGAATTTTTTTTTTTCTTATCAATAAAAACTTTAATGATTTTTATGTAAAGTTTATTAAATAGGACCTTCACTATTTAAAGTTGTCGCTTATAAAATTTAATTTTTTTTTTTTTTTTATTTTTACTTGTAAAAAAATCTTCTATAATTAAATATAAATAAAAAGTTATACAAATTTCAATGATACTCTAATTAAAATCATTAGCTACTATTAAGCGTTTTGCTAATATAAAAACGTTAGTAAAGATAAACGTGTCGAAGTTATTTAATTTCAGGGTAACTAAAAACCAATTTTTCAAGCCCATTTGTTAAAAACCGTGATTACCGTGTTAAAAACAAAATATTATTTGCTTGTGTTAAAAACCGTGTTAAAAACAAAATATTCTTTGCTTGGTCATATAAAGACTTGAAATCGCATGTCTTCCTGGCCAAGCCTAGATTTAAAATCTGCTGCTTGTTCTAAGCAATCAAAAAGTGAAGATTTTTTTTCAAGGCAAGAGTATAAGGTTGAGTCGTCAATAAATAGAGCTACTTTAGATGGAAAATTTTCATGAAGATTGGTTTTGTAGATAAGAAACAATACACAAGCAAAAATAGAACCTTGTGGTACCCTTAAAGTTACTTGAAGAGTTTAGGCCTTCAATGATAACTTTAATATTGCAGATAAAAAGAAATAATTATCTTAAAACCTTTAAATAAAGAAAAAGTGTTTTCTAGAGTTTTGAAAAATTGGAATTATTATTTAACACTTTAAAAGTTTAGCAAAGTTTAAAGAGAGTTCTGGAGAACACTTTTTTAAGACTATGATGGAAATCTTATCTGGAACGCGAGCTGTAGAAATAATTAATTTTGAATTAACTTTAGAATTTCCAATTCTAAGAGTGATTTGGATTTTTAACAATAGGTTAATCTATTCAACTGGCAGGAAGAGTGTGGAAAAGTATTGTTATTCAACTGGCAGGAAGAGTGTGGAAAAGTATTGTTATTCAACTGGCAGGAAGAGTGTGGAAAAGTATTGTTATTCAACTGGCAGGAAGAGTGTGGAAAAGTATTGTTACTCAACTGGCAGGAAGAGTGTGGAAAAGTATTGTTATTCAACTGGCAGGAAGAGTGTGGAAAAGTATTGTTATTCAACTGGCAGGAAGAGTGTGGAAAAGTATTGTTACTCAACTGGCAGGAAGAGTGTGGAAAAGTATTGTTATTCAACTGGCAGGAAGAGTGTGGAAAAGTATTGTTATTCAACTGGCAGGAAGAGTGTGGAAAAGTATTGTTATTCAATTGGCAGGAAGAGTGTGGAAAAGTATTGTTATTCAACTGGCAGGAAGAGTGTGGAAAAGTATTGTTATTCAACTGGCAGGAAAAGTGTGGAAAAGTATTGTTATTAGATTCAAGAGTTAAATTAGAGTAAGATATTTTTTGCTAATAAAACTGATTTATTCTGGCTACAAGTAAAAATATCAGACCCGTAAATTAGAAATTATATGTTAGACTTGCTTTAGTTAATGTTAGATTTAGTAAATTGAGAATAACAGTGCTTAACATCAGGCGGGGCATTTTTACATTAACTTCTTTGAATAATAAAAGGTGTATTTAGAAGACATGATATGTGTTCTAAAGAGATTTTTTTTAGAGAACATTGTAAAAAGGATGAAAAAAATAATTAATGTTTATTAAAGCAACTGTTCAAGATGTTAAAAAAAATGTGGAGTAGAGTGAGGCTTGACTTAAATAGAAGTAATAAAAAACTTCCAAACTTTTATTTCAGAAGAAATAGCTTCCAAGCTGTGCTTTATGCATACATATTATTGATTTAAACATGTATGTTTGCTATTTATTTAGATGCTGGCATGCAATATCCTTTCATATTTATATAAACTTAAGTGTTTATATGGTGTAGTATTCGAAAGAAAAGATGATCAGATGATGGTGGTGCTAATGCTAGTGGTGGCGGTAATGAAGATTATGATAATCTTGTTGATCATAATGATGTTTTTATATGCATATATATACAAAATAACATGAATTTTGAATTTAAAAAATATACTTTAGGATAAATAAATGTTATGTTATGCTATATTGTATCAAACCCGGCCCCTGGTCAAATATCAACCCTGGTCGGCTACTAATAAAATGTAAATACAAACGTGTATATATATATATCAGGGTTTGAAAAAAAACAGACAAACTTGAAAAAAACCGGGCCGGGTGGTTTTTTTCGGACTTTTTCAATTTTTTAAGCAAAGTGAAGTGCAAATACTGTGAATGTGAAGTAAGTAGAAAAATAACGAGAATTAAGGCACATTTGAAAAAGTGCTCAAAGTTTCCAATACCTGGAACCAGCAACACAGATACAGAAGATGATGAACCTCCTTAAAGTGAAAGTTCACTAAGCTTTGGTTTTAAAAGTGATTCTTCTACATCCATGGATAAATCATTGAATTATGAAGAACGAAATGTAGATTTTCAGGTTCCATCGACAAGTTTAGCTTTACCATCGATTCCCAGTCCAATTACATATTCTAGAGTAACTACATCTTCCAAAGCTACGCAACTAACACAAAGTAGTAAAAAAAGACGCTTGTAAACCACAGTGAATGAGTTTTCAATAAAAACTACAGCTGCTCAAAAAGAAATTTTGGATATGAAAATGGCCAGATATTTCTATGCTAACAACATTCCTTTCAACATCAGTAGCAGTAAGATGCTCAAAGAAATGGTAGAAGCTCTGGGCCTAGATACAAGCCACCAAATCCTGAGTCATTAGGTGGTTCATTACTGAACAAAGTTAGTGAAGAAGTAGATACCGAGTTAAAGCTTGAGCTGCAGCACAGTAACTGCTGCATTACACTTCTACAGGATGATTGGTCAAGCGTCCGAAATGACCCAATCCTTGCTTCGTCCATACACACGGGTTTCAAGGCTTTTTTATTGGAAGCGGTAGATTGTGGCCATGAAAAAAAGACGGCCGAATCCTGTGCTGAGAAAGCAATTTAGTACATCAAAATGTGTTAGGATATAAAAACGGAAAAGAGGTAGGCTAAGTTCTTTTGTTTTTCAAAACAATAGCATTGTAGCAAAGATGTTAACATTTTTGGTATGCATAAATTCATAAAACTTTGCTTCTCTTAAGTTATATATGTAAAAATATGTTACTTTTTAAAGTTTTTAAGTAACATAATGCTTTGAAGTATCACTGATCACGATCCTGTACCATACATTGAACTTTCAGGTGTTTGCTCTTTGCACAGACAATGAGAATAAAATGAAAAAAATGAAGGAAATTGTTCAACAATCATACCCCAGCATATTGATGTTTGGTTGCGCAGTTCATTTAATGAACTTAGTTGAGAAAGATGTCACACCTCAGACAATTTTGAAGCATATTGTAGAAGTGCAGAAGTACTTCAGGAATGTACACCAACCTCATGTAAGAACAAACATGGAACTTTGTCTTGTCATTCTGTTAAAAAATAAGCCTTGGTTGCAAGCTACAATTGTTGACCTTGCTAAATTAATAAATTAGGTCTTTAGATATGATGCAATTTATTATACATTGTAATTGTTTAGTTTTAGTATAAGTAACAACTATAGTTTCTATGATTGAATGGTAATAGTAATTTACTTTTTTTCTACCTCATGGCTCATAGGGATGGCTGAAAGCGAAAAAGGGTCTCATGCCACAGTTACCCAATGAAACTCGTTGGAATTCACAAGCCGAGTGTGTGAGAACATTTACTTCAAATTATCATCTCTATCTCGAAATTCAAACAGAACATACAGAATATTTTAATGACAGCATTAAGAAAATATTGGATCACGTCAGCATATTCAGGGAGGCGTTGCAGCAGCTTTAAATAAGGTACCAAGACAAAATATTCCTTTAAATACTAAATTGCTAACTTAATAAAATAGTTTTCTTTATGCTCTAATTGTAATTGATGATTGACACATGCTACATTTCCATTTAGCTGCAGGCAGATACAACAAAGTTGTCTGATTGCATGGATATATGGCTGGATATAATTGAAAACCCTGGTTTGGAGAACTATGGTCAGTTTTTTAGAAAACGCTTCTTAGAAACTATGCAGCCATTTAATTATTTAGCCTACATGCTAGATAGAAAAAAGGTAGGCTAATGAAAAATAACAAAGATAGCTTTACAAAACATATAAGGTATTTGTTCTGAAATATTTGTAGTAAATATATTTTTTGGACAATTTAAGGCTAGTCTTGTTATTAACTTATTTTTTTATGTGACTTTAGTTTTTACTTTTTAACATCGCATGATGTAGCCAGTGTGTACTGTGTAGTTTATGTAGGTGAGGTCTGCCTGATAATGAATAATAATTATAATATGAACCTGGAACTCATAGAACTACTATTTTTGCTCTTTAGGAAATAGAAGACTCACAATGGAACAGCATTATGAGGGAGAAGAGTGGTTAAATATTCGACACCGTGATTTTGTACCATTTGTTCTGGCTTTCACAGCAGAAAATACAGAAATATATCCCAGCTCCATGTTCAGAGAAAGTGTTGTGAAAACGTTTTCTGCTGCAAAATGGTGGAAAATATTTGATTTCCAAAATTTCTGTAACTCAAGAACATGATGCCCATCGAGAAAATGCTGCTCTGTCATTGCCATTCTGCCAGTTTGTGTTCAACTTACACAGTGTTCCAGTTTTGTCTGCTTCTCTCGAAAGGATTTTTTCAAACTTTGGCTACATTTGGTCCAAGACAAGAAATCGTTTGGGCACAGAGAAAGTGGCAAAGCTTGCCAAAGTGTATTGCCACTTGCGAGAAGCAAATGATGATTGACTGTTATAAGTGTTGTTTATCAGTTGTTCAGTAGTTTAGTAGTGCATTAAATTTAATCAAATCAATTGCGTAATTATTTTCCAATTTATATGGTATTTAAAAAAAAATTCGACAAAATTTGAAAAAGACCACTTGTGAAAAAATCCATTGGTTTTTTTCGGGTGGAACCGTCCGAAAAAAACCGCTGGTTTTTTTTGGCCCGGGCCCACTTCCTGGAACCCTGATATATATATATATATATATATATATATATATATATATATATATATGTATATATATATATATATATATATCTATATATATATATATATATATATATATATATATATATATATATATATATATATATATATATATATATATATATCTATATATATATATATATATATATATATATATATATATATATATATATATATATATATATATATATATATATATATATATATATATATATATATATATATATATATATATATATATATATATATATAGGCCTTGTTATAATTTTATTGCGTATCTAAAATACTTTAAGCAAATAAATGTAACTTTTTACAATTTAAAAGTTAAATTGTGTCATTAGCACATTTTAATGTGTTTTAATGCGTTGTAGTTAAATTTAATTTTAAACCTTGTTAAAAAAATTTGTAGTTAACTTAAACTAATATAACAAAAATTACTGATGAAATCGAAATTCAGTATATGAAAATGATAGTATTTCTATATAATTTATTTCCTAACATAACTTTTTATTTCTTTGTCACAACTTATTTTTTATTTATTTTTATTTTTTTTTTAAAGTATTTATTTTTTATTTTTAAAGTATGTAATATTTTTAATAAAGATTATAAAATAATCAATTTTTTATAGATAGATTCTATCAGTTGCCAATAAGATATTTTTAAACATAATTTATGTTAATAAATAAATTATTTTATAAATAAAAGAACTTTACACAATATTGAATAAAGAAGTAACAAAAAATTTTAAACACATTTGTGAAAAGAATTCTCGTAAACAAAAACACCTCTTCCTTTTTTTAAAGAAAAAAGTAATTGCTTTCACATATTTTAATTTATGACAGAGACTTATGTTTTACTTTATAAGTTTGTTAGCAGATAAGAAAAGAAATTTCTTCTTTAATAAATATTGCAAACTGTTTTTCACTCCATTGAAACTAAATTTAAATTTTCAAAATCATATTTAATTTAAAGTCTTTTAACTTCAAAAAATAATAATAATCAGTTTCTTTAATAAAGTCACAGTTGCTGCTAAATGCTTTTTTTTAGGACTTCCTATTTTCTCAATAGACATCACATAAAACGATAATAAAAGATTATTAAAATATTCTGAAATAAAAAAGTTTTTGCTTAATTTAAAACTGCCAAATGCATTCAGAATTTTATATATATATATATTATTATTATTATATATATTATTATTATTATTTCTTTTTTTTTCTTATATATGTTCTTGTATTTAAGATTTTTTGAAATATTAAATATGATGATTAAAGCAGTCAAATGCACTCAAGCTATCATGCTTCCAACAACCACTATTTTTAGAAGATTAGGACACGATGGTCCAGGATCTGTAAGTAAATTAGTTTCATTTTTATCAAGTTATTTTTCTTAGTTATAACTTTGTTTCTTTTATACATATATATATATATATATATATATATATATATATATATATATATATATATATATATATATATATATATATATATATATATATTATATATATATATATATATATATATATATCAGGCCTTGTTACGAGATTTCGCTGCGTAACGGAAAAGCTGAACGTGAATAAAAGTAACTTTACTCAATAAAGATATTTACATTGTTAAAAGTTAATTTACGTCAGTTGTGTTTTTACTTCATTGTAATTAAATTTAAAATGACATTAAAAACTATTGTTAGTCTTTGAAACGAAATAGCTTTAAATTGCTTGTCATAAAAAAATGTTGTTATAAAAAAAAAAAAATTTCAATGTTGGTTAAAAAAAAGTCTTCTTGTATTGAAATCTTATACTTATTTAAACTTAATTTTTTTGCATTTAAACATTCGTTTTATGGTTGTTTTTTTTTTTTATTTTTTTTTAAATAATTTAAATTTAACACTTGTTTATGGTTGATTTTCTTAAATAGATTTAAATGTACTTTAACTAAACGCATAGATTGGGTTTTCCCTTTTAAAAAAAAACGTTTGTTTTGATAAAATAAATGTTGTAAAGAAACGAAATTTACTGCTTTTTCGGCTTTGTTTTTTTTTATTTCCATTAAACTATTTTATTTTTATGTACAGTGAAACCTAATATTTTTTTTTCTCAATCCAAAAAAAAAATAGTGTTTTCAGTTTTCAGATGTTATAAGCAGAATTTGTTTTTAACAAATATCATTATAATTTTGAAATTTATGTATCTTATATTTATAGCTCAAGTACTAGTTTTGTTTTTAAAATAAAAGAAAGATAAGTTGGGTTTTTAAAGAGTTTATTTACTGATCACGTTATTTTTAATAGGTTTGTATTTTAGTTTGTTCAAGGACGTATTGTTAATACGTCCTTGGTTTGTTTTATAAAAAAAAATTCTTTGGCAAAGGGAAAACCCAAACATAACATTTATAACTCAAGTTTAAAAGTATTGACGTCATTTATTAACTTGTAGTTATAAATTGAATAATGCGCTTCTGTAAATAATGAATGAAACTGTAAAATAATGGAAAAATAAAAACTGGAAAATAATGCGCTTTTGTAAGCGCATCTTTCAGACCAGTATTTGGAACTTACCTGAAACTTAACTAAAATTAAAATAAAGTTATATGTAATACGAACATTTTAAAGTAACTTGAATTAAATTTATCAAATCTTTTTTTACTTTGGTAATTTTATAAAAAAAACGGAGCATTTTAAAATTAAAAAATTTTAAAATGCTCTGTTTTAAAATTAAATAAAAGAATTTTAATTACATTTAATAAATTTATTTACTAAAAACTATAATTATTAAAAAAATATTTAAATTTTAAAATAAATTGATAATATTTCTTTTTTTAAATTTGATTGTTTATAAACTTATGAAATCTAATATTTAAAATTAAATATGATGAAAAGTTTAAACTTAAAACACTTTATTTTCTTTAAGTAATTTTTAAAAACAAAAAAAAAATTATTAAACAAATTGTTTCTTTAACAAAAAATCTATTAGTTTACAATTGCGGTTAAATGCTTTTACTTACGACTTAAATACTTCTGAATGAACGTCACATAAACGATATAAAAAGATAATTTAAATATTCTTAAAGATAAAAGTTTTTGCTTCACGCATAACTGCTGAACGCGTAGACAAATCGCCTTTTCGCAGGCAAAATGCGAGCTGCGTAATGCTTCTTAACAAGGCCTGATATATATATATATATGTGTGTGTGTATATATATATATATATTATATATATATATATATATATATATATATATATATATATATATACATACATACATATATACACATATATGCACACACAGTCAGCGAAATTCAAAGCCTTTCAGGTCGGCGCAAGTGTGCCAACCTTAGCTGACATCAGGTTGGCAAAAAAAAAATTGGATTTTTTGCTTTCTGTTACAATAGGGGTAATGATTAATTTATTTTAAAAGGATTGCTTTATAACAGCATAGCTTCAGACAATAATATTTTAAAGAATGAAGCAATTAAATTTTGTTTTGTAAATTATAAAAAAAGTATATAGCAAATTTATGAATTAGTGATTTTTTTGGTTTTAAAGTTGTTGTTTTTTTTTACAAAAAAAATGGTCAGTTTATTTATTACATTTTAATTGGTTTTTTAGATTGCTCATAGAAAGAACGTCGTTTAGAAATACAAATTTATTTTATGCGCTGTAGGCGAAGATTTTGTTTAAAACAGCATATTGTTTGACAAAATGAGTTTTCATCCAGTTGTTTAACCTCTACGAGAAATAAGCATTTAATTCTCCAGTAGTAGGGGTGGTGTTTTTCATTAGTTAAATGGTTTAAACTAATAAAGTAAATTGAAATTAGATTTTATAACTTAATAAAATAATAATTGCGTTTAAAAAAGCGTGAGAACATCAGGGATTTCAAAAGTAATATTTTTTAACCTTACTATGCTTGAATAAATTTGAGAATTGAAAAAAAAAAAGAATTATTGTTTTAATAAAACATGTCAAAGTTGAAAAGCAAGTAATTACAATAAAAAATTTATTATATTTAACAAACATTATATATTTTTTACATGATTTTTTACATGATATATTTAGCAAAGATAGGTCGGCTTTTGTGTCGCCTGACCTGAATTTTGCTGCCTATATATATATATATATATATATATATATATATATATATATATATATATATATATATATATATATATATATATATATATATATATATATATATATATATATATATATATATATATATATATATATATATATATCAGGCTTTCCCAAAAAGGTGTGCGGTCGCACGCCTTGTTTGTCCATGCATAGAATAAATTTTTCTGACAAACTGACCACGTTTTATTATTATGCGTTTCAAGAATTTGCTCCAAAGCAAAGCTAAACGAAAATACCGTAAAATTGCAAGCAATCTTAATGTAAATAACAGAAATCTGTTTGTGCTTTAAAATTTAAAAATTAATGTATATTATTAAAAAAAAAATTTACCTATATTTTATTTATTTTTTTTGTTTTGTTTTTTAGGGCGGTAGTTATTTTTGATATGAAAAATCAAATCAATAAGAAAAAAATTATTGTTTAATGAAAATAAAAGGACCTTTTAATGTAAAATTTGTTTATGACTTTTATCAGTCAGTAATACTTCGATTTTTTAATGTTTCGTAAATATATTTAAATGTTTAAATGTATTGATACCCAAGAAAGCGTGAAAACGATTGCTATTTATTTGTAAAATATGTTTTATTTCAATTTTTAAATGAAAGAAAATTTTATTGTCAAACTTGGGTTGCTTATTTTGCAATCATTAATTGACATTGTGAACAAGTGTTAATATATAATAATTTCCCGAAGGAACTGTTTTCGTAACAATGACAACAGAAGCAATGCAATTATTTTTTTAACTTCTTTTGTAATTACAAAATTATTCAATTGAATAATTTCAACGTAATAAAAGGCGAGCATTGACTCAGTATAATCAGTTTAGAATAAGTCGAGAGAGAACTTTTTTCACATTAAAATTTTGTTATCTTTAAAATCTCAAATAATATTTTAATGATTAAAACAGCAATTTATTTTCTTGTCTAAGTATTGGGGAATAACGTCATCGTCTTTGCATAAACCTTCGTAAAAACTAAATTAAATGAAAAAATTTAATCAAATTTGTCTAGCGCATATAATGAATCAGTTTTTTAATAGGTTGTCTGATAAAGTTAGTGAATAAATTACGTATCAAGTCTTTTTATTTTCGTGAAAATAAAAAGACTTGATACGTAACTTTGAACTTTATGATTTATTGTCATCTTTTCCTTGACTTGTATAAAATTTCGTAACTGAAAATAGCAACCCTAAAAAAAGAAAACAAAAACAGTATAAAAATTTTGAAAAAAATGTTCAGGACTTTTTTTTTTTGTTGTTACAAGATTTTTTTTTTTTTTTTAATTTTTTTTTTATTATCAAAATATTTTTCTTACATCCAATTTCAATTTTATACTTTGTTTAGACTTCGTTTCCTTTTTTTAATATTATTTTTTATTCTCTGTGGATAAGTTCCGCATTCCCACAAAATATTGCCGCAATCACGTTTTCTGAAAAATTTATTTTATGCATGGACAAACATTTTATGCGTGCGACCGCACGTCTTTCCTAAGAAAGCCTGATATATATATACATACTGGGGCTATCCTAGACCATTTTTGACAGCGTCAATCTTATTTGGGTGTCACCCAAATTAAAATTTGAGGACCTTTTTTTTCTCTTTTTTTTTTTATGTTTTTACAGCAAATATTGTTTTTTTCGCGAAAAAAACGCCAATTTACAGACGTGTTCAAATTATTAGACTAAAATTTTTTTCTCCTTTTTTTTTTATTTTTATAAAAATATTACAGATATAATGTTCGTAAATATAAAAAAAACCCTAATTAATACTTGGTATGGAGCCCCTTGGCTTTAATATGCATATTAATGCGGCTCGGCATGCTTTCTACCAGAGTTTTACAAATGTTTTTGATGTCTTGGTCTTGATGCCATATTTGTATCAGTTTTTCGATGAGTTGCACTTTGGTGGTAATTGTTTCTTGATCTTTTTCTTTATAACAGCCCACATTTTCAATGGGGTTCATGTCGGGACTATTTCCTGGCCACGGCAATGTCTTGATTCTGCTCTGCTGAAGAAATTCTGTCACTTTTTTGGCTTTATGACACGGAGCCCCATCGTGCATAAAAATTACATCTCCCTCTGGAAACCATGTCTTAATTTGGGGCATTAACCTATTTTGTAGCACTTTAATATATTGTACATGATTCATGGTGCCTTCTACGATGTACAACATTCCCGGTCCGTGTATTGACATGACACTCCACACCATAACAGACGT